GGGGGGTATATACACGCTCGTGTAAAACGCTTTTAGAAAAGTACTCAGCATTATGAAACTAATACATCTATCAACAAAATGACCGACCATTACCTCATCAATATTGATGGGAAATTGTTACAATGGTTATTAGGTGAAAAAGTGGATGAGTACAGGAGAAATCAGCGAGGACTGGACAAGAGCTAGACGAGAAACGGAAGGTTACAGAACTACTGAAATGGAAGATAGCAATTTGTTTTGGTTTAGTAGAAATATTACGGTACTGGCAACACATCTAGGTCATAATATTAAGTGTGCCGAAGATTAGGGGTGTTACACGAGAGTAACAAACGCAAAAAGGGGGTTGAGATAAAGACGATAGATTTTTGACAGAAAAAGGAGCTAACCACACTAGAGCACTCACCAACCACCCACAGACAATTAATAATTTATTGTAGAAACAGTATTGCGTGAACTCTACACTTAAGATAACGTGGTGCTCCTGAGGGTAACAGAAAGTAAAAGTAATTTGTTTGTTGATTTTTTAAATTATTTTTTTTTAAATGTATAGCTATTATTCGTTTATTTCTGAGGGAGAATGTTTTTGTTAAGTTAGTGTTTTGGCTCCTGTAAAATGGCAGCTACACTGTATGCTTCCCAGGAGGATGAGATCGTTTCTGGGTGTTATCAGGTCTGCTGGGGTAATGATATTGATCGTAAAGTGCATAGCGTTGGCTGTTGAGCATGAATTTGCGCCACGCAAGTGCTTATCATTTTAATTATTACTATCATTACTATCATTAATACTATTATTATTATTATCATCATTATTATTAAACACTCTGGTCATGTTGAAAAATATGTAAAAATTTACAATTTCTTTTCAGCTTTTTATCCCGCAGAGTTGAGAGGACGATAGCTCTGTACTCTGTACACGGGGGAGGGGGGTGGGTGAAGACAGTCAGGCGTGCATACGGTGTGCAATGTTAAATATTTAAGCTAAAGCTAAAGCGTACGTGAAATTGTGTGTGGCAAAATGCAAACGTGCTCTAGACATAAATCCTGTTGCATCAACTGTAGCAGACACGAATGCACAACGCACGTCTAAAAATTGTTGACACAATATGCGACATAATACATCGAGCCGAACCCCTTTCCTTCCTCTTTTTCGGTGCGTTATTCCACATAAAAATTCTGGTTTTTTTAATTTTTTTATATTCTTGGCTCTTCTCAGTGGATTTTCCCATGTGATGAGGCTACAGAACGACAATACATTCCCTTAACACATTATTAACAACAATAATAACAACAACAACAACAACAACAGCAACGACAACAACAACAACAGCAGCAGCAGCAACAACAAAAACAAACGCAGCAACAACACCAAACTCATGCACACTGTTTCAAGCACACAAAAGAACACACCATACAAGAACACCAAACGTGTAGACACAATATGGCGGCCGTCACACACATTACATCCAGACCGATGCATGCACAATGCACACGACAAGGAGTACATCGCATACGACAAACTCGCACGGGGCAGCGCACTTTCCTCTTTGGTTAGAGTTTTACGGCGCTCGCAACTGAATAAAGTCATACGAGCGCGCGTATCAGGACTTTGAGGACAATGACGGACGACTTCTGGGGATCAGTGACCGCCGACTCTTGTGGATCAGTGAGTGACTTGCGAATGTAAGGTCAGTGATTGCCGGCTTTGTATGAGAGCAAGTAACAAAATATTACTGATAGCTGAATTATTTTTTCATCTAAAGCGATTCAAGAGTTTCGACAAGCCAACCCCGCTGTCGCAATTAGAGAACTGCTTTGTCTTGACATTATTTTTCCCCCATGACCATGTCCCTTGTCACTCAACGTGATGTCCATATAATATTATAACTGTCGAAATCGTGGCATTGTTGGGGGATTTGGGGGGGGGCAAAAAGTCAAGTCACAAGTTTTAGTTTCCGACAAAAAAAGGCGTAATTTAATTCAGGAAATCGTCTCGTACACAGCACCGGCGTCTATATTGTAGCATTTAGGCGTTTCGCTGCCGCACGCAAAACATGTGTTAAAAATCTATTTAATATTTTTTTCTCTATTTTATGTGCGTGTGTGTGTGTGGGGGGGGGGCACAATTTACTTAGATATTTAGATCAGCTTGGAGCCAGGAGGCAGGCTTCGTCCAGGCCAGTCACAGCCAACCCGAGCAGAGAGGGATATACAACAACGTCCAAGCAGAAACGCACATACTTGACCAAAATTCTCCTCGCACGGAAA